GCTTCCCCCTCAGAGCACAGGAGGATTTGGGGGGTCCCCGGGCCCGAAGTGCGGCAGTATATTCGACAGTATGGGGAAGGGAACGTGATTACTCCGGTCTCCCAGTCAATCTGGGGGTTATGGGCCCGTAACCATGGGAGCCCCAGAATGACTGGGAAGAGGGGTGAAGCTATAGCATCCAGGCGGAGGAGTTCCTGGTGCTGGCCGGCAATGACAGTGGTGATGGAGGGGGTTTCCTGGTTCACTACCCCCGATTTTATTCGGGAACCGTCGGCCAAATAAATATTGAACCCCTTCTGTTTCAATTGAAGGGGAATACCCTGCTGGTGAGCAAAATTAATATCCACGAAGCAGCTGCATGCCCCAGAGTCAATTATGGCCGATACTTCCACGGTCCTTTCTGGAAGCTGAAAGGAAAGGGGCACCACTAAGTATTGGGATGGACCAACATTGCCAAGGGATAAGGAAGAAGAGGTGCACTTACTCAGTTTCTGCGGGCAGGAACGCGCCATATGACCAGCTTCTCCGCAATAGAGGCACAGGTTCTGGGATCGTCTGCGCAGATGTTCCTCCTCTGGGGATAGTTTAGGCCGTGCCAGGCCGAGCTGCATGGGTTCGGGGTTGTCTCCAGGTGGCCGGTTTTGGATGACTGGCCTAGGTGTTTGACTGGGACCCTGAAATGATCCCCAGGGATTTCCGTGACCCTGGCCGGACCTCTCAAACCTGCGTTCCCGCAGTCTACGGTCAATTTTAATGGTCAGTGCTATTAGGTCCTCTAAAGTCTCAGGTACCTCCACCCGGGCGAGCTCGTCTTTCAGGCCGTCTGATAGGCCAACACGGAACTGATGCAGGAGTGCGAACTCGTTCCAGCGAGTATCCCCCATCCACCGCCTAAATTCAGATGCGTACTCCTCCGCCGCTCGGCGGCCTTGCCGGAGTGTGTACAGAGTAGCTTCAGCAGAAGCTGCCCGCTGCGGGTCATCATAAAGGATGGCCATAGCATCAAAAAAACTGTCAACCGAACCAAGGTGAGGGTCATTTTTTCCCCGTAATCGATGGGCCCAGTCTTGGGGTTCACCCTGCAGGAGGGATATGACGAACCCCACCTTCACGGATTCAGTCACGAAGGTTCGGGGTTGTAGCTCAAAATAGAGGAGGCAGGACTCGCGGAATGATCTGAACCGAGTGCGGTCCCCGTGGAAACGTTCTGGTAAGGGTACTCGGGGGTCGGCCGCCGGGAGTGGTGCGGATGCCCCAGACACCAGCACAGGGACTGCTACAGCTGGAGGTGTGGGGACCGCGGCTTGTGGGGCAGGAACGGATATAGTGCAGGCCTGGAATTGAGTTTCAATCTGCTGACATCTATCCTGCAGGGCCGATACGGCCTGTGTCAAATTGGATAGGTGCCTGCAGATCTCCTCCAGCGGCGAGGGACCTCCTCTAGACTCAGTCATGGCCTTCTGGTACTGTAAGGGACCGCCCGGCGGTACTACTAGCACTCCACTGAATAGGCGTCCCCAGCGCACGGAGTCTAAGTCCCAGGGTGCTTGTTCACCAGGGCCCCTGATGGTGGGGATGGACTTGGAGCTCCCTGAGACCAGGTCGTGACTACCGGGTGCGTCCGTCAGTGGTAGTAGTATGCGCAAGGGGCTCCCACGGGGAAGAGTCTGATGTGAGGAGGTCAGAAGACCCCACTGCACGGGATGGATGGATGGATGAGCAGGGTCAGACGGGCCGGGTTGGTAACAGAGAGGGCGGCAAGGTACAAGGCAGCGGGCATAGAATGGTCGGGTCACACGCCAGGTCAGCAACAGCAGGTCAAATCCAATAGGGGGCATTCAGGAGAGAGGTCAGGCAAAGCAAGGGTCAGAACAGGAGAAAACAGCAAGGTCAGGTACAATCCGGGTCAATAACTTACAGGGTACAGGTTCACAGGATTCAGAATGCAGGAAAGACCAGAAGGCACTGAATGACAGCTCAGGGTCGTTTAAATATCCCGCCCTGCGCTGCCATTGGTGCCCAGCGGGCGGCCGCGGCTTCTACTGCGCATGCGCGAACTCGAACGCCGCGCCGGCCCGGAATCAGTGCTCGAGTCCCTGCGCCGGGTGGCATACTGCGCCTGCGCCGGGACCAACGCGGCGGGGATCGAGGGGATCCCTGACAACAGGTCACCTCTGCAGCATTCTCCAACACTGTCTGCAGCTCACATCTGCACCCTTGCTCATCCCAATCCACAGCTCACCTCTGCACCCCCTGTCCACAACTCACTTCTGCACCCCTCAACTCACTTCTGCACACCCCCTCCACAATTCACCTGTGCACCACCCATTTGCAAATCACTTTTGCACCCCCATCTGCAGCTCACCTCCGCAATCCCTGATTACAACTCACCTGGTAACACTTATCCCCTCCACAACTGTCCACAGCTAGTCCCAGAACCCCCGCCCACAACTTACCTTTGAACCACCATCTGCAACTCAACTCTGCACCCTTCATCTGCAACTCGCCTCTGCACCCCCATCTCCAGTTCACCTCTGCACCCTTCTTCCACAGCTTATGTCTGAAAACCCCCACCCCAACAGCTAAACTCTTGAACCCTCTTCCACAGCTCCTCACCTCTGTATCCCCAATCAACATCTCACTTCTGCACCCCACCTTAGCTCTGCCCACTGCCTTGCTTACCTTTGCAAAAAGCACTTCTCAGCTCTAGTACCTCTGGCTTGTCTTACCCACACAGTGCACTGCAAACTCATTTGTCGCTGCCACTGGCCAGCAGCAGCAGCGAGATTATCCACCTGGAGCATCATCATCTAGGCACCAGACTACAGCTCAGCATGTGGTCACTGTCTTTCTGCCCATAAACACACTGCTTCCAGGCAGTTTTTCCTGCCTTGTCCCTGCCCTAAGTTCTGGGGCAGGGAGGGTTCTGTGGGAGCTGCTGAGAAAGGTGCACTCTTACTTGTAAACACATGTAGTGCTACCCCTGTAGGAGCTGCTAAGATACTGTCCAGGTCTTCCCTCTTTCTGTCTCACAACCAGGCATAGGATAGTTGTAAAGTCAGTTACAAACACACTTTTTGCTCATTGTCCTCAATTTTTGTTTTTGTAGTTTTATTGTTGGAGAACTTGGATAGGGAGAAGGGGATTTAGCAGGATACTCCAAGAATAGAACTAATTACAGTTGAGGACAGAATTTCCCTAAATAGCAGCCTTGAGCACAATCCCAATGTCAAAAGAGGGTTAAGCAGACAGTGCTCTTTAGGACACCAGCCAGTGTCCCCTTTTTCAGATCCACGCTATTTATGTAGCACCAGAGAGGTAGCAAAGACACAAAGTCCCCTAGATCCCACAGAGTCTGTATTCGCAAGGCCCAAAGATACAATGGTAGCCTTTTTCCAATCTACCAAGTGATGACTTCCAGTGATACTAGACAGATCTTTGGCAGACAGCTCCCCTCAGTCAGCTTTCTGAAGAACCAGGGTCACTCTCTCTCTTACTTAAGGCCCTCAGGTCACCCACCTTAGGGCTGCATGGCAGCAGGTGCCTGGGGAGGCAGCGTACCTTCCTCCAGGCTGGTACAATCCTCTCCAGGAAAGACCCAGGTCTCAGTGTGCCCAATGAATAAATAGCCTCTCCCAGGATCCTTCAGGACTACACTACTTGGGATTGGTTGGAATGGCATTAATATTCATACTGTATTCTGTATGAGTTCCATCTATACATCCAGAACATTCTTAGGTTACTTGGATACAGAGGAAGCCAGAGGTAGAGTTAGCAACACTTGAACACACTTAGTAGGCATTACTAAACAATTGCAGCTCTCTGTTAAGCAGAAAGCCTGATTAGATTTCCCTAACCATTCTCCTGTTAAGCAAGGGAACTAACTATAATCTACCTATTCTAGCACCTATGTAGGAGGCTGCAACACACAGAAGCCAGGCTGAGTGACAGAGATGAGTGGTGAGCATAGGGCCAGTGCCAGGTTATGGTTGAAAAAAAGCCCTGACTGTTGTGTAGCACTGTATAACTATAGTAGCACACTACAGGGGCAACTTTCTCTCCCTACAATAACTGTCTCTCACACTAAACTCCCAACACACTGACAAAGGGTTAGTGAGGGAGCAGCCATTTATGCTGTATGGGCTGGGACTTTGAACAAAAACCCTCATTAGTTTTGGTGAGGTGCAAGATTTTGACCAGTTATGGTTGTTTACTGTGCATTGTGGGATATTTGATGGAGCAATTCATGCCGAATGTCCGTAAAGGTCAGATTTATGCTGAACAGCAAATATTTGATCTGAACTCACAGGTCGTCCCTAACCTGTGGGACATAATCTTGAAGAGCCACAATAGGTCACAATAGGCTAAACAGCCGAAAACAGCCTTGTAGGGTTAAAATGGGTACTGATGATATAATCCTGTAGAGCCATATTAGATACTAATGATATACTCCTATAGGGCTAACATAAGTACAGATGATATACTCTTGTAGGGCCAATACTAGTACTTTTGAAATAATCTTTTAAAGTAAAGATAGCTTATGATATAATTCTATAGCAGAGGTCACTAAATGGCTCCCTGCTGGACCGCCGGACTGGATCCGCCACTCAGCAGGTCGTCACGGCAACCGATTACATCACGTGTGTGCCCCGCCCCTGGCAGCTCACTGTCTCTCCGAGTCCCGCTCCCTGCCTGTACACAAGCGTGCAGCTGATCCTTCAGTAAGGATCCCAGCAAGCTCCTGTCTGCACTCAAGGTAGGGTGTGTTCTTACAGGGGCACTCTGATGGGCACATTTAATGTTAAAGGGTCATGCTGATGGGCACATTTAATGTTAAGATGCACTTTGATGGGCACAACATAGAATGTGCCCATCAGAGTGCCCCTTAATATAAATGTGCCCATCAAAGTACCCCTTAACATAAAATGTGCCCATCAGTATTCCCCTTATTTTATGATGGGCACATTTTTTATGTTAAGGGACACTCTGATGAGCATCTTTCATGTTAAGGGGCACTCTGAGGGGCACATGTTATGTTAACGGGACACAAATGGGCACATACTGTGGAAGGGGCACTCTGATGGGCTCATGTGATGAAAATGGGCAATCTGATTGGCACATGTGATGGAAAGGGGCACTCTGATGGGGAATATGATGTAATGGGGCACTCTGATGGGGAAATATGATGGAAAGGGGTACTTTAAGTGTAAGAGGGCACTCTGATGGGAATATCTGATGTAAGGTGGCACTGTGATGGGGATACCTGATGTAAAGGAGCACTCTGATGGGCACAACTGATGGGCACAACTGATGTGATGGGAATACATGATGTAATGTTGCACTCTGATGGCGACACCTAATGTAAGGGAACACACTGATGGGCACACCCTATTTGGACCCTATTTGGACCTCGGCCAGAAGAAAATTTTAGTGACCAGACCTCTTTGAATTTTAATTCAATACATTTGTTCTATAGGGTCAAAATAGATACTGATGATATAACCCCACAAGACCAAGATAGAGACTGATTAAAATAGATACTAGCCATTCTGTAAAGAAAACGTAAAAATATATATATAACAGTTAAAACTGTAGTGGGCATTACCCTCTTTATTCAAAGGTCTGGTAAATAACTGCTGCATTCACGATAAATGATGTTATTGCATAATACATTTGGCTCTTCTACATAATATAGATTGCTAATAAAACCTCTGCAGCATCACTTTATGACCTGCATTTTATGACTGTGTATTAATTCACTGAGGAGACACAGACATTTTTGCTTGTGTGAATGGGGAATAAAACATATCTGCACTGAACAGGTCAAATTATTTAGTTATTTCAGGAGCTTTACATTTTTACAGTATACGTATATTATACTATAATTATTATAGAGAACTTTTGGTGTACAGTAAAATTTTAACATTTTTGGTAATGTGGTAATGAATAGCAAATTTGACAAAAAGTAAAGTGAAGAATGTGTCATGAAAAGACCTACTTAGAAGAGCTTAGAAATAAAATACAAAAGAAACCTTAATATATTCAAGTATTGCTAAGCATACAATGACACTTTCATTAGCATGTGTCTTTTGTGCTGTAAAATAGACTGCTGATGATGATTATGATGATTAGAGATGAGCGAAGTATTCAAAAATTCGATTCGGCTGATTCGGCGAATTCGAGGAATAAATTTGATTCGAGGCGAATATATTCGCTGCGAATTTAACTTTAAAAAGGGTGTTTCTAGGCTTCAGAGAGCCTTTATATTAGTGCAGCAAAACACTGTACCTTTAATTTAAATGCCCTTGGAGTCTGCTGGGGAAGAGAAATAATACTGTCAGTCAGTATGACATGCAGATGAGTGCCGTCGATCTTAGAATCACCGCACACTTCACTCATTTGGGCAGTCACGGGGCCAAAACCAGAGTGTGGAGCCACAGTGTGGCGGTGGAGGCAGCAGCAATGGGAGGCCATACAGCACCCTATGAAAAAATGGAACCCACCAGCAGTGTGAGGAGACCTGAAAGTGGCACATGGCAGAGTGTGGCGATGGAGACAGCAGCAATGGGAGGGCCGTACAGGGACCCATGACACACTCTGGACCTGGAAGCAGCATGAGGAGGCGGTACAGGGACCCATGGGGCAGCATGCCCATGACAGATTACGGGCCTGGCAGCAGCATGAGGAGTCGGTACGGGGGCCCATGGCAGATTACGGGCCTGGCAGCAGCAATGGGAGGGCCGTAATCTGCCAGCACCCTATGACAAAATGGAACCCACCAGCAGTGTGAGGAGACCTGAAAGTGGCACATGGCAGAGTGTGGCGATGGAGAGCAGCAATGGAGGCCGTACAGGGACCCATGACACACTCTGGACCTGGCAGCAGCATGAGGAGGCAGGTACAGGGGCCCATGACAGATTACAGGCCTGGCAGCAGCATGAGGAGTCGGTACGGGGGCCCCATGGCAGATTACGGGCCTGGCAGCAGCAATGGGAGGGCCCGTAATCTGCCAGCACCCTATGACAAAATGGAACCCACCACAGGTGAGGAGACCTGAAAGTGGACAGAGTGTGGCGATGGACGGGCAGCAATGGGAGGCGTACAGGGACCCATGACTCTGGACCTGGGAGCAGCATGAGGAGGCGGTACGGGGGCCCATGGCAGATTACGGGCCTGGCAGCAGCAATGGGAGGCCTGTAATCTGCCAGCACCCTATGACAAAATGGAACCCAACAGTGTGAGGGACCATGAAAGTGGCACAGAGTGTGGCGATGGAGACAGCAGCAATGGGGGAGGCCGTACAGGGGCCCATGAGAGACTCTGGACCTGGCAGCAGTGTGAGATTACGGGACTGGCAGCAGCAATGGGAGTGCACCCTATGCACATGGCATGGAGAGACACTCTGGGCCTGGCAGCAGCATGAGGGGATACGGGCCTGGGCAGCAATGGGAGGCCTGTAACAGCACCCTTGACAAAATGGAAAACTACCAGAAGTTGTGGAGGAAGACCTGAAAGAGGCTCATGGCAATGGAGTGACGGGGGCCCATGGGAGGCAGCAGCAATGGGAGGCCCGTACAGGGACCCATGACACACTCTGGACCTGGCAGCAGCATGAGGAGGCCGGTACGGGGGCCCTGCAGCATGATGGCAGCAGCAATGGGAGGCCCGTAATCTGCCAGCACCCTATGACAAAATGGAAACACACCAGCAGTGTGAGGAGACCTGAAAGTGGCACATGGCGAGAGAGTGTGGCGATGGAGACAGCAGCAATGGGAGGCCCGTACAGGGACCCCTCTGGACCTGGCAAGCAGCATGAGGAACGGGGGCCCATGGCAGATTACGGGCCTGCAGCAGCAATGGGAGGCCCGTAATCTGCCAGCACCCTATGACAAAATGGAACCAGCAGTGTGAGGGACCTGAAAGTGGCACATGGCAGAGTGTGGCGATGGAGACAGCAGCAATGGGAGGCCGTACAGGGACCCATGACAGATTCGGGCCTGGCAGCAGCATGAGGAGGCGGTACAGGGGCCCCAGATTACGGGCCTGGCAGCAGCAATGGGAGGCCCGTAATCTGCCAGCACCCTATGACAAAATGGAACACACCAGCAGTGTGAGGAGACCTGAAAGTGGCACATGGCAGAGTGTGGCGATGGAGACAGCAGCAATGGGAGGCCGTACAGGGACCCATGGATTACGGGACCTGGGCAGCAGCATGAGGAGGCGGTACGGGGGCCCATGGCAGATTACGGGCCTGGCAGCAGCAATGGGAGGCCCGTAATCTGCCAGCACCCTATGACAAAATGGAAACACACCAGCAGTGTGAGGAGACCTGAAAGTGGCACTGAGAAGATGGAGACAGCAGCATGGGAGGCTGTACAGGGACCCATGTGGCTGGCAGCAGCATGGAGACCAGCAGCACCCTATGACAAAATGGAACACACCAGAGTGTGAGGAGACCTGAAAGTACAGGCAGACCCATGAGATGGACTCTGGACCTGACAGCAGCAGCATGAGGAGGCGGTACAGGGGCCCATGCAGATTACGGGCCTGGCAGCAGCAATGGGAGGCCCGTAATCTGCCAGCACCCCAGAAACACACCCTATGAAACAAAATGGAGAACATTGGGACCAGCATGTGATTGAGGAGACCTGAAAGTGGCACATGACAGAGTGTGGCGATGGAGACAGCAGCAATGGGAGGCCGTACAGGGAGACCCATGACAGACCCTTGGACCTGGCAGCAGCATGAGGAGGCGGTACGGGGGCCCATGGCAGATTACGGGCCTGGCAGCAGCAATGGGAGGCCCGTAATCTGCCAGCACCCTATGACAAATGGAACACACCAGCAGTGTGAGGAGACCTGAAAGTGGCACATGGCACGAGTGTGGCGATGGAGTGCAATGGCGACAAAATGGAAACACACCAGCATGGAGGCCTGAAAGTGGCACATGACAGTGTGGCGATGGCAGCAATGGGAGGCCGTACAGGGACCCATGAGGCCTGGCTGGCAGCAGCATGAGGAGGCGGTACAGGGGCCCATGACAGATTATGGGCCTGGCAGCAGCAATGGGAGGCCCGTAATCTGCCAGCACCCTATGACAAAATGGAACACACCAGCAGTGTGAGGAGACCTGAAAGTGGCACATGGCAGAGTGTGGCGATGGAGACAGCAGCAATGGGAGGCTGTACAGGGACCCATGACAGATTACGGGCCTGGCAGCAGCAATGGGAGGCCCGTAGGGGCCCATCTGCTGGCAGCAGCAAGAGGCCCTAATCTGCCAGCACCCTATGACAAAATGGAACACACCAGCAGTGTGAGGAGACCTGAAAGTGGCACATGGCAGAGTGTGGCGATGGAGACAGCAGCAATGGGAGGCCGTACAGGGACCCATGAGAGACTCTGGCTGGCAGCAGCAATGAGGAGGCGGTACAGGGGCCCATGACAGATTACAGGTCTGGCAGCAGCAATGGGAGGCCCGTAATCTGCCAGCACCCTATGACAAAATGGAACACACCAGCAGTGTGAGGAGACCTGAAAGTGGCACATGGCAGAGTGTGGCGATGGAGACAGCAGCAATGGGAGGCCGTACAGGGACCCATGAGAGACTCTGGACCTGGCAGCAGCATGAGGAGGCGGTACAGGGACCCATGACAGATTACGGGCCTGGCAGCAGCATGAGGAGGCGGTACAGAGGCCCATGGCAGATTACGGGCCTGGCAGCAGCAATGGGAGGCCCGTAATCTGCCAGCACCCTATGACAAAATGGAACCCACCAGCAGTGTGAGGAGACCTGAAAGTGGCACATGGCAGAGTGTGGCGATGGAGACATGGGCCCCCTGGCCACGCTTGACTTTCTGGCCACATAGTCAACATACGGCTACGTTTACTTCCTCGGGCGGCTTGACGAAAAATTGCCACACCGCCGAGTAGGAAACTTTGCCCCCGCTACTCCTCACTGGCTGACTGCTACTTCCTCCGTGCACACCGGCACCACTACTGGCCGTGGTGGTAGGCTGCAGTGGAGCTGGTGCTCTACTCCGTGGCCGTTTTCCTCCACTGACACTGCTGCGACCCTGCTGCCTCCTGGGCAACCCACCGACTGTTTTGCTCGCTGCCAAGCTGGCACCCTCTTCTCCTGATGATGCGGAAGCAATAGCCTGATGACGACGAGGCTGCCAAGTGCGATCAGCCTCATCATCATCAATTAGGGTCTCCGCCTCACTACTAGCCCCCTCGGCTGCGTGTGGGTCAGGAGACAGACCTGTCTCTAGACCGGCTACCGAGCCACTCTCCTCGCCAGTACTTCTTCGCCTGGCTGCTGAAGAGGCGGATGTCTCCCCCCGTTCCTGACCGCCCTCTGTTAGCTCTTCCTCACTGTACAGTGGGGCTGAGCCCACAGCATGCGATACTTCGCTTGGTGAGGGAACACCAAAGGACAGGGGCAGGTAGAGGACACGTG